AGACCCAAAGAACAAATAATCCAATCAAGAAATGGGCAGAAGACATGAACAGACATTTTTCTAAAGAAGACATCCAAATGGCCAACAGACACATGAAAAAGTGCTCAACATCGCTCAGCATCAGGGAAATCCAAATCAAAACCTCAATGAGATACCACCTCACACCAGTCAGAATGGCTAAAATTAACAAGTCAGGAAATGACAGATGTTGGCGGGGATGCGGAGAAAGGGGAACCCTCCTACACTGTTGGTGGGAATGCAAGCTGGTGGAACCCCTCTGGAAAACAGTATGGAGGTTCCTCAAAAAGTTGAAAATAGAGCTACCATATGATCCAGCAATTGCACTCCTGGGTATTTACCACAAAGATACAAATGTAGGGATCCAAAGGGGTACGTGCACCCCAATGTTTATAGCACAATGTCCACAATAGCCAAACTGTGGAAAGAGCCAAGATGTCCATCGACAGATGAATGGATAAAGAAGATGTGGTATATATACACAATGGAATATTTTGCAGCCATCAAAAGGAATGAGATCTTGCCATTTGCAATGACGTGGATGGAACGTCCATGTGGGTATTGTGCTGAGTGAAATAAGTCAATCAGAGAAAGACATGTATCATATGACCTCACTGATATGAGGAATTCTTAATCTCAGGAAACCAACTGAGGGTTGCTGGAGTGGTGGGGGGGTGGGAGGTATGGGGTAGCTAGGTGATGGACATTGGGGAGGGTATGTGCTATGGTGAGCGCTGTGAATTGTGCAAGACTGTTGAATCACAGATCTGTACCTCTGAAACAAATAATGCATATATGTTAAGAAAAAAAAAGAAGAAGAGAGTAGGAGGGGAAGAATGAAGGGGAGTAAATCGGATGGGTAGACGAACCATGAGAGACGATGGAGTCTGAAAAACAAACTGAGGTTTCTAGAGGGGAGGGGGTTCGGGGGAGGGTTAGCCTGTTGATGGGTATTAAAGAGGGCACGTTCTGCGTGGAGCACTGGGTGTTATGCACAATGAATCATGGACACTACATCAAAAACTAATGATGTAATGTATGGTGATTAACATAACAATTAAAAATTTAAAGTATAGACGTAAAAAAAAAAAAAAGAATTCACCCAAAACACTGAAGAATGTCAGTATTGAAGAAATCAGAAGAGAGAAGAGATGCTTCAGAAAAAACTGAGTAGCAATGGCAGGAGACATAGATACAGGTTCAAGAGGGCATTGGGTCATACACAGATGCTGAGGTTAGGTAATATTTCTAGAAGAAAGGATAGGTCAATAAGGAGCAACACTGCTGAGAGTTAAAATGAAAGCTAAATCATCTTCATTGTGTTTTGCCAGAAGAAAGACATTTGTGACGTAGTGAGAACACTTTAGTGAAATAGGAAAAGCAGAAACCAGATTTTAGAAGAAACTGGAGTGGGAGGTGAAAAGAGGAAAAAGCAAGTAGAAACAATTTCTAGGAAGTTTGACTTAAAAGAGGTGGAAGAAACTGGGCTGAAACTGGAAGCCACATGTGGTTCAGGGAAAATTTTCTTGTGCTCTTGCATGTTTCATTGCTAAAAGAAAAGGCGGTGGAAGAAGAGAGAGGTTAGAGTGGAGATGATGGAGTAAGGAAGCTCCTTGAAAAAATGAAAAGAGACGCAATCCCAACTGTAGATTAGAGATTTGATTTAGACAGATGGAGGGATACTCCTTTTTTGGAAATAGGAGGAGAGGAAAAAGAAATAAGTAAGATGCAAACAATTGTGTAGACTCAGTAGTAGAAAGTCCATGAATATATCATTTGATAGCTTCTCTTAAAAAAAAAAAAGAAAAGGCTTCTTTCCCAGTGGTGAATGAGAGGTATAGGGAATTTATTTTAACATTTTATTTATTTATTTATTCATTTATTTATTTATAGTGGGAAGAGGGGCAGAGGGAGAAGGGAGAAAGGAAAGGATCCCAGGCAGACTACCCCTGGCACGGGCCTCGATCCCATGACCTGAGCTGAAACCAGGAGTCTGAGCTTAAACAAATGGCTGAGCCACCCAGGCGCCCTGGGGAGAGAATTATTGAGCAAAGGGACAATTTCTGTCTAAAATGGCCACCCTAATGAATAGGAGATAACTATAGAAATACAGCACCGATGACCAGATAGAGCCAGGGGCATGAGTGGAGGCTGATTGCCCGGATTGAGAGTGACACAAATCAACACCATTATCATCATTATCACCATAATATTTGTTGTAAAAATAATGTGTTTTTACATAAATTATGTAATAATTTATTACACAATTTATTAAAAATTACACAAAAATACATAAATTAAAAAGTCCTCGTGACTGGTTTTTATAGGAAGGATAAACTGGGATAAGTTTAGAGGTCACTGTCTGCAGAAATCACGTGTTGACATATCCAGTAACTCTGATTGCAACACTTTTCAGAAAACACACCCTTCTTTGTTATCACAGCACAGGCATTATCTTCAACCTGGCCCAGGACTTGAAATCTGTAGAGGAAAAAGCAACATCCTGTTCTCATTTGGCTAAAAACACAACTGTGCATATTTTGTATGTTTTCTCCCTCCTTAGGAGGGATGTACTCTCCAAACTGGAGATCTAAGACACTGTAATTTTCAGACAAGGAATGCCTGTTAAAAAATGACTTCATTAATGAAGGTAGTTGCTCCAAATAGTTTCTTACCAAAAATGGTCATTTGTAAATGGAAAGGCTATGTGGAATTAAATAAATATGTGAATAAGAAGCACTGGTTTCCCAATTCCATGTGATCATACCAAAAAAAATTAAAAATAAAGATCTTAGAGGACTGTTATCTGTTATGGTCTGAATGCTGTGTTCCCCCCAAAATTCATATGTTAAAATCTTAACCCATAAAAGTGATGTATTAGGAAGTGGGGCCTTTGGGAGGTGCTTAACTCATGAGGTGGAATCCTCATTCATTCCTTATAAAAAAGACTCCAGAGAGATCCCTAGCCCCTCCCACCATGTCCTCACATGGCTACAAACCAGAAAGAGGGCCCTCACCAAAACATGACCATGCTGACATCTTGATCTTGGAGTCCCATTTTCCAGAGCAGTGAGAAATAAATTTCTGTTGCTTGTAAGCTACCCAGGCTGTGGTATTTTGTCACAGTAGCCCAAAAGGACTAAGATAGAGGATAGTCCTGCCCTTTTAGGAGAAAAAGTCCTTTTATTACTCCAAAGATTCCTGATTCAACTTTTTAAGTATCTGCAACAATGGAATGATACCAACTTTATAACAGACAGTATCATATTTATCATTCTAAAATTTAGAAATATCAACACATCTAAAAATATGCATTGTTTTTCAAAAAGTATTAAACCAATTTTCTGTAGAAAATTAAACTATTACCCTTGTCATTTCCCTGACCTAAATCCCAAGTGTAACACCTTTCAAAAATCTTGCTTCACTGTTTGCCTTTAATAAGCCTCCTAACTTCTACAAGAGATCCTAAGAAAGAATGGTATATCTAGACTTTACATGTTAAATGTGGCAACAGTAACCCCAGACAGAATGGCAGAAGGAGTGAAAGTTAGAGTGAGCAATCGAGAAGAAGACCTTCCCACTTTTAAATGTTTTAAACTCACATGGACTCCTCAGCAAGGGAATTTCTGTGCATTTGTGTATATATGGGTGTACCCAAATCCTTTACCCTTTACATGAAAGAAGGAAAATTCCCCTAAGTTCTGTTTTTCCATGATATTTTAAGCCAACTTTTCTTGTCTTGAACAAATAAGCCAAAGGGCATCTAAAAACTCTGAAAGAAAACCCTCAATTTTAAAAACAAGATTGGCAAATTAGTAATTCTAACCAAGTTTGCAAGTGGGTTGATAGAGCATCACTTTAAAAAGATGATGATACATTTCTATTAGAAATAATCAAAGGTAAGAATGCCTGGGTGGCTCAGTCCGTTAACGGTCTGCCTTCAGCTTAGGTCATGATCCCAAGGTCCTGGGATCAAGCCCCCCACTGGGTGTCCTGCTCAGCAGGGAACCTGCTTCTCCCTCTCCCTCTGCCTGACACTCCCCCTCCTTGTGCACTCTCTCTCTCTCTCTCTCTGCCAAGTAAATAAATAAAATCTTAAAAAAAAAAAAAGAAAGAATCAAAGGTAAGTTTTTAAAATGAATTTAGTGCTTGATGTACAGAGAATATGATGGCATGGGTAGGTACGGAGTGTAAATTTTAACAAGAAATATTGTAAATAGTCTCTGGATAAGAATATTCATTTGTAGGGTGAATTGCTCTGTTTCAGAGCATTTTTTTCCCCTACTCTCAGCAAGTCTGGTGGGCCTGCTCTATCACTCCAGAACATCTATAGTCTTCCTAAATCCCCTTAACTTCACATCTCTTTAAGAGACGCAACAAAATTCCACATTTTCAAGAAGTGTAATTAACTTTGGTGATACCAGAAACCTTGATGCTGAGAGTAGAGAGTTTAACCCTGGACTCCCAGGAGCTTCTGCCTGTGTTTTGGGGATTAGTGTCTAATGTCTAAAGGTTTTAGCACTCTCTACCCATGGAACTTAAGCAGAAATGAATGAGGTGCATCAAAGTAAACACACATATTGTTGATTGGGGTGACACTATTTAAAAAAAGTCAAATGCTATTTGTTGTATTATGTAAAACATATTCCTTAACATTTCCCAATAATTGAAGTCTTCCTACTAATCAAAATAAGGATTATTTGGTTAACTTTTAAGAAATACTTCAAAAGAAATGAAATTTCGAGAATTTTATGTAAACTACAGTTTTCCATTTCTACCTCTAGGATTATAGATAAACTCAAAGCCCAAATAAGATAATAAATTAGCTTAGAAGACTTCATTTCTTTAAGGCAAATTTCCTAATCATTCACTTATTAACAAAGATCAAAGTCTTCAGTCTAGAGAACCATTTGGCTATCTGGAGTTTCAGGCAACCCCCCATTGGGACTGGCTGCTGAGAGACTCAAATGCTAAATACTCACAACTGTGGATTTAAAGGGGTGCCATCCAGCCAGGTCCATGTCTTTTGTGGGTGTGTGATGTTCAATCCAATCCAAAAGTAAATTCCATCTTGTATATTACTCTGTATGAAATCCTATGAAAAAGGATCCAGAGGAAACAGAGTTAAACCTATTAAAATATTGTTTTCTGGCTTTTGTCCAGACTTAAGAAAGTCTTGGTATTTATCTCCCTATTCAGGAAAATCTTAAGAAGTCTGAAGAAGTTTCCTATATATTTAGGGAAGGAAACTGATGTAGGAAGGTTTTCAAAACACATGACTCATATATATTATGTGCAGGCATGTGATGCTTAATGGGATTCATGGGGATGATGATGTGAACAGCGACTGCTGAGGGGGCTCAAAGAGGATGTGAAGACAAAGCTAGGGATGAATAAGTCTGCTTAAAGGAGCAAGAGCTATTCTCAGAGTGCTGTTGCTAATGTGCAGTCTTGGGGAAAACTGGTGCCTATGGTAAAATTACCCACGAGCAAACTAAAGAGCCCATCTTCCCTACCCAAGATACTAGGGATATTGCCAGATACTGATAATATTCAAAGAGCTCGTATCTTTCTTTCCAAGAGGTCTTGTGGAAGGACGCATTGATATCCCAGCTTTGTCACTCACATGCTGAGTGAAATAGGCAAGTTTTACAACCTGTCAAGTTCTGCAGATTCTTCCGGAAGTAGGGAAAATATTGCCTATCTCATAAAGTCACTGTGAGCACTAAGTTTGATAACATTTGCAGCATGCCTACCACAGTGCCTGGCATCTGCTAGGAATTCAATAAATGGCCATAATTATGAGCACCATAATTCTATTATAAAACCTACTTTGGGGCACCCGGGTGGCTCAGTCGCTTAAGCTTCTGCCTTCAGCTCAGGTCATGATCCCAGAGTCCTGGGACTGAGCCCTGTGTTGGGCTCCCCGCTCAGCGGGGAGTCTGCTTCTCCCTCTCCTTCTGCCCTTCCCCCTGCTCATGCACTCTCTCTCTCTCTTGCTCACTCTCTCACTCTAGTTGTCTCTCAAATAAATAAAAAATAAATCTTTAAAAAAAAACCTACTTATTTCTCTCAGCTTTAGGAGGGTTAATTTTCATGACAAATTAGCTCTTACCAGTTCAGCCTTGTCTTGGATCATCAAGAGATGCGATTTCATTATTAAACAGGATTTTTGACTATCGGTCCATGATTTAAAGCTTTTTAAAAAATTATAGCATTTCCCTTTTTTCTGCAGCCAGTTATTAGGGCATAAGTTTAGCCTCGGTTTTGCTGAAATGGGAAAATACGAAGAATAGGAGAAGAGCAAGTTTTGAATATCAAAAAAATGTTTTCACTAATTTTGTAAACTTTTCCCTTAAAAGTAAAGATTTTGTCCCATTTTTAAGAAAAGAACTCCCTTTCCACTGATGAATAGTCTTTAGAAGAGATAAATGCCAGAAATATTCATAATTATTGAGTAATTACCACATGTCAAATAGTTTCCTATCTTTTTATGTACACAAATATATGAAATGTTTTTCCTTACAAGAAATGTATAAGATACATAAAATTATTAATTTCATATTCCTCATTTTGTAAATAAAGATAGTACAGTTAAGGAGAAGTAAACAAGTATAAAGTGGGGAGACGAATGTAAATGTTAAGGAACTTACTCAAGGTTATAACTAATACAGCCAATATAATAAGTGGTAGGACATAGGGAAACTTAAAGTAAAACAGAGTCTAAAAGGTATAAGGCAAAAACTGCTGTGGAAAAAAAATACATATACATCCTTTTCAGAGTCCCTTGCTGGTACAAAAAATATATATTTCATGATATATTTTATCAGTAATTTTGTAAAACAAATTTTTCACCATGACCCCAATAACCTTAATGACCACCAGAGGTATCTCTGAAAAGGAAAAATTTGAAATAGGTATTAAAATAAACCTATCTTCAAAAATAGGTACACACAGGTTTCAAGTAAACTAATAATTTCTTGTATTTTAAGCCGCATGGTAGGTTCATAAGTATTGATTGCATTCTATTTAAACTGTTGTATATCTTAAGTATTGTATATTTTTTAAATATCCACAAATTTGTGTACAAACTTGCCTGATATATTAAATGAGATGAACATGAAAATGTAAACTATAAAATACTCTGTACAAAAGTTAGTTATCACTGGCGAAGCTCTTTGAGAGATAGTATGAGGAATCATATTATATGGAGAAAATATCACATACTAAGTTTCTGTTTTCAATCAGCAAAGTACCCTGATTTTCACAACACTCTTCCCAGAACATTTTATTTTATAAGTCATAACAACATGGGCATTGAAATGGTTTATTAATGAACTAGGTTTTAACTGCACTGGCCAGGAAAAATACCTCAAAACACACTTCAGACCAAAGCTGGGGACAAATTTTGGTTTTGCTGAAATTTAATATCGTAAATTATTGACAGAAATAAATGACCTTAAGCTCTTGCGCTTATTTAGAGGTTTACTGTGATATGACCTTTGCTGTGGTAACATATGGCCTCTAAAATAAAACACGAAGTATTCACTTCACTCTTCTATTTGTTTGCCTGAAAGTCACATACTACAACAATAAAGAAGCCCAGGCTCTTGTCAGTGCGGTAAAGTGGAAAGAAATTCATCCATTGGAAAGTACAGTTATTTAGAGTGTGAGAGACTATTATTGATATACCAAAGATATCTCTTCTCAGCCTTTTGGCTTAAGATCAAGTGATATGCCAAAGACAAAGTGATGAAAATAGCAAATAATTTTTGAGTGCTTTAGTGCTGGGACCCCCATGGTAGAAAGGCTTCCAAGTGGTCTAGAGAAGCCTAGAAGAGTAATGTATGGGGAGCAATATAGAAATGTCCATAATGGAGAAGCACTGAGTTGACCTATTACAGAGATGTGATATATAGACTAAAGTCTTAAGGGAAAAGTGCCAACATAAACATGCACATTAGTTATATTTTTCATACTATTTTCCATCACTCTCTATGACCATCAATAGCATTTATTAATTATCTAATCTTAACTTACAGTTTAGACATATATTTTGGCATAAATCATGGTATTTAAACTATGCAAAGTTTATAGTTTGGGTAGATTTTTTACTTAGAAAATAGTTGTAACTTGGGAGAAAAGGCTAATTTCCTTATTCTACAACAAGCATTGATGAGTAAGAAGAAAATAAACATTATTTTTTTTTTTTAAAAAAGACAAAGTGAAAACCAGGCAGTTTACAGAGTAAAAACATATAAATATCCAATGTATGTGATTTGATTTTTAATTTCCTATTATGTAAGAAATGTAACTAAAACCAACGATGTGTATTTTTATCAGATTATATCAGTGTTACAGTCTGAACTGTGTGTGTGTGTGTGTGTGTGTGTGTGTGTGTGTGTGTGTGTGTTAGAAGGGTTCAGAGGGTAGGATGTTGCAACAGAGAGATAAATATCCAAAAGAAATGGATTGGATCATCAATGAACACAGACTTGAGGTTGAGAGAGTATGTTGTATTTTATTACCATACTGAGGTTTATTTTGCTGGAGGCTAGAGTGAAAAGAGGAAAGTTGCATATGAGAAATGAGACTGCTATTGTAGGAAATCAAGACCCAGAAAGAAACAATGTTAAAGTGCTTAGGCTTATAGCCCTTAGATTTTAGTCCTTAGACTGTAGAAAGTCACTAGAGAGTCTGAGGCACAAGAGTGCGGAAGGAGAGCAAAATATACCACCCTGAAACATGCCTCCTTGGCATAAGGTTTATCCTGAGGTGGTTGTTTTTAAGAAACTGCAGACACAGAAGGTCTGAAAACCTAGTAGAAATCATCCTCTTGTAAGAGACATTTACAGTTACATGGGAAATCTCCATTTGTAAGGGTGTCCTTCCACTCTGTATCAGGAAGAAGAAGATGACCAAAAGCTCTAGAAACTTATTAAAGGAGAAGGCATGGATTTAAATCTTCACAGCAACCATATCCTTGTTTACTGCACTTTGCCTGAAAACCTCCCATAACTGGTGAAGGTATTAGGAGTTAGTGACTTTCTATCTTTTGTATATGCCTAATATAATCAACAGATGCAGGAAGAAGCCTCCTCTGAGCTTCCCTTATCTGACTAAAAATAGAAACTTCTGAGATAGGAGGTTGTCATAAATTCCTCTTTGGAGTGGTTTACTCCCAGAAAAAAACGACTAAGAACTCTACCATAAATCCCCTTTCTGGAGGAATTCTGTGACTATGAAGAGGGAAAGACTACACACACCTGTGTATATAGACACTATTACTTTATTATCTCCAGTTTGTTCTCCTGAAAAGGCCATTTGTGTTTCCTAAAGAAATGTATTTGTTTTTCCCTGAGAAGCCACATCTTGCCCCACCTTTCTCCTACTAAGCTAGGTATAGAAACCTTTTACTGTAACTGGGCAGAGCTAGCTACTTATTTTGTTACCTCTCCTATGAATGCAAATAAACCTTTTCTTCCTGTTAATTGGTCTTTTGACAGTTTAATTCACAGGCCCCCTGGTACCAAACTTAAGAGGGTAGAGGAAAAGTTTTTCTTCCTCTACAATACAATGAAATATAACCACTTACTTGTGAAGTTTGTATTGTCCTGCTGTTTCCTGGGAGAAATATTCATACAATCACAGTCTTTGATTCCATGCTCGCTACTTAGGTGACTTACTGCCAAATGAAGGAAAGGAGTAACACTAACTAGATTTCTACAAATATAAGCTTGTGCCTTTTAATCATCCGTTAAAACAAAACTACAAATGAATGCACACTGGTGGCTAACAAACCTGTCTATAGCATTTCAACCCTATATTTTGACAAAGGATGAACAAACTTAGAGACTCAGGAGATTTCCACTTATGAAAACGTATGTAGAAACAAACAATAAAAATTATCTAAGTAAAATTAAAAATATATTGAAATTTGTGTCTGTTTGGCATGATAGGTTAGAATGCTGTGTGATCTTGAACTTTTACATAGCTTTTCTGTTTCTCAGTTTACTCATATATAAAAGGGGAAAATGCTTAACAAACAGCTGTCTCAAGACTAAAAAATGATGTATGTAAAATGCTTATCACAATTTCTAACACATAGAGGGTCACAACAGGGACACCTGGGTGGCTCAGTCAGTTAAGTGTCTGACTCCTGATTTCCTCCCAGGTCACGATCTCAGGGTTGTGAGATCAAGCCCCATAGAGAGCCCTCTGCTGGGTGTGGAGCTGATTAAGATTCTCTCTCTCTCTCTCTCCCCCTCTCAACCTCCCCCACCTTGAAAAAAGAAAAAAGAAAAAAAGAAGGTCACAACAAATAGAAACAGTAACAGATATAATTACCCATAGCTCTTCTTGAAATAGAGCTCATTTTAGGAATAATTCAGGTTAAATTTAACTTGGTCTTAAATTTTCAAACAGCCGATAAATTTTGTCAAAACTTCAAAATATCAAACTACTTCTAAAGTCCAAAAGCTTTATTTAAAGGATCAAAAATCTAAGTGCTTTTACCAAAATATAAAACTTCACTTCATAGAATCGTGACTGCCAAACCCACACAATTTACCAATTAATTAAAATTATAAGCAGAATAGGCTTTCTAAATTTACAAGTTTGTTGCCTCCTCTGTATAGGGACAAAAATACTCATTATTAACGAAATTACCAACTGTGTCATTTAATACCAATGTAGTTTAAGTAATAGTGGAAGAATATGTTAGGTAAATGTGAAAAATGGTTCTGGAAAAGTTAGAGAAATAAAGGGAAACTCCAAAGGAAATACATTAATCTCTACAGTTGAACATACAGCTTTCAGTTTACTCACCCCAAATAGTTAGTCCAGTCACTGTGGCAGTGAGTATAACCAGCACAATGCTGCTCAGTCTCAGAACAGTGCGATGCCACTTGGGACATTTAGGGTAATCTGTAATAAATAATTTTTCTTTCTGAAACATTTAGTCATTTAAAACAAACTTGAAAATACGTCATAGAAATGTATAATTCTGAAGGGTGCACATTGTCTTAAGGAGAGGGAAAGTAATATTCAATCTCTGTTTAAATTATCTTGATATGAACACATACTTAATTATCTTTAAAGAATTGAGTTTATTGATGCTAAATTTTGAGGTCCATATGTTTCATGTACTATTTATTAAATATCCTTCTTATGTAACACTTCCATTCAACAACTACAATTCACAATCAAATTGGTGGATATTAGTTGATCAGCTGGTTAGTCAAAACATTGCCACTAAAATTTGTCATCTACCTTCATTTACATCTTTTCTGAATCACACAGATATTATTCAGTGGGACTAAAGCCTGGGAAGGCAAAATATAAGTAATACCAGAATAATTGAACAATAATAAAAATGAATGTCAAAAAGAGAAATATAAGCAAGACTGAGTTTTGTAGCCATCTTCTCAAATGTTGTTTCAAATAAGAATTTTATATTTATATCAATTCATGAAACAAATCTCAGATGCTAACCTTTATAATTACATACCTTGCTTTAATAAAATAGCATTATAACACTCATAATCTTCAACCCAGGTCAAATAAAATCTGATCCATTACATTCTATTTAATAAGATCTACATAAACATATTATTTAAAAGTAAGATAAAACATTTTCTGATTAACAGATTCTAGTTCAAATTCTTAAAAGTTCTCATTAAAAGTCTAGGATTAAAAGACACACAGAAAATTCTAACTGTATTACAATCTGTGGGCTAATGGAGGGTTATAGGTTCTTACCTTTGCATGCCCACTTGTGTTGGCAATGATAGGGATGCTTTTTTGGCTTCTGCATCATTGATCTCTCTGTGTTTTGCCTCTGTCCAAACATCCTGTAAATAGAATAATCCATATTTAAATGAGATGGAAAGAGAGACATTACCTGATCAAAAGCAGTCAGCCTCTACAAACTGTGGCATTGAAATAAACCCAATAGCTGAAAACCACAAAGGATGTGATTTAAGAGTGAGTTGAACTTCATTTTTTTTAAGTAAACCGTTTCTTTTAGGATAGTTTTAGACTGGCAGAAAAATTGTGAAAGTAGTACAGAAAGTTCCCATATACATCATACCCAATTTCCCCTATCACTACCATGTTACACTAGTATGGTAAGTCAAAATTAATGAATCAATATTCATGCATTATTATTAATTAAATTCTATACTTAATTCATTTTTCAACTAAAACCTTTTCTTAGTTTTTACTTAATACATTTTTCTATTCAAGGACCACATTCAGGATACCACAGTTCCTTTACTCTTCACATCTTCTTAGGATAATCTTGGCTGACAGTTTCTCACTCTTTCCTTGTTTTTGATGTTTGGTTTTGTTTTTTGTTTTTTTACAGTTTTGAGAAAAGTGGGTCAGATATTTTGTAGAATATTCTCAAATTGGGGTAGACTGATGTTTTTCTCATCATTACCCTTGGGTTAAAGGTTTTTGGAGGAAGATCACAGAGATGAATTGCCATTCTTATCACAACTTACAAAGAGTATAAATGTTACTCTCTTTTCTCCATTTCCATACTGTACTCTTTGAAAGGAAGTTAATATGTGCAGCCCACACTTAAGAAGTGGAGAGTTATACCCCTTCTCTTTCACAACAGAATTATTATTATACATGAATTATTTAGAAATCTTCTGCAGGTAATTTTTGTCTAATCTCCCATTTACTTCTTTATCAATCATTTATATCAATAAAACTCATTCATATTTATTTGATATTTTCCATAACAATCCAATACTACTTTATCTATTTTGTTGCTCACATTGTTCCAGCTTTGGCCACAGGAACTCTTTCAGTTGGTTCCATGAGTTCATAGCCTCCAAAATTATTTTTTTAATTTGCATACATTAAGGTTCACTCTTTCTGCCATAAAGTTCAGTGGGTTTTAACTAAAACAAAATGTCATGAATCCACCATTATAATATCATACAGAATAAATTCACTGTCCTAAAATTTAAATCCCTTGTACTTCACTGAAATAAAGAAGACTTGGGAAAAAAGATTGAGACATAATTGGAGAAAGAATGATCTGATTCTGGACATAAGTTTGAGATGCCTATTAGATATCCAAAGGGAAATGTCAAATAGGCAGGCAGATATTTGTACCAGGAACTCAGGAAAAAGAACTGTACATGAAGCAGAATTAGCTCTAGAAAGTGCTTGCCTGGGGCTGAGTCCTGTCCCTTGAAGAACTTTGACAGTTGCAGCTAAAACAGAAGGATGGAAGCCAGTAGGTAAGACTGAGAAGGGGAAGCTAAAGATGGCAGAAGAAATACAAAGACAAGTTCAGAAATCCACAAAAGAAATTTTTTAAGTCAGAGGTGGTCAGTCAACTGTGTCAAATGCTGCTCAAAGTTCAAGAAACACAAGGATAGCAAAATGGCCATTGAATTTGGCAATGTGGAATCCTTAGTGACATTGATCAGACCTTATTTTGTGAAGAGAAGAGAATGGAATATATTGAAAAGAGAACAGAAGGTGAGGCATTTGAGAGTGTATACTTAGCCAAATCTATTGACAAGTATACTCTGAGAGGAATAATGGGATAGTAGCTAGAGAGGAATATGTCTGGTCATGAGAGTTGTTTTAAAAATATAGTGAGTCCTAGAGCATTTTTTGGTAATAGAAATGATTCAGTGAAAAGGAAAAAATTGGTATTGCCAGAAAGGGTGGAAAAGGAATAACTCAATAGTGTTTTGAGAAGTCAAGAGCAAATGGGTTCCAGAGTACAAGTGGCTGGGTTTGCTTTTTATAGGAGCAAAGATATTATTTCCACTGTAACAAGTGGAGAAAATAGGTAGAGATAAAGATTTTAAATGTTATTGTTGGTGAATAGAACAAGGATGACACATTTGGTTCACTCTGCCAAGAGTTGTGTGCAGACCTATAAATTGTTTTTCTATATCAAAGAAAAGCATCTGTGGAAGGACAACCACAGTCTCTTCCTTTGCTGGCCACTTATTTCCTCTCTGCCATAGTTCTGGTGTTTCTTGGGCATATTTTGAAGACTGTGGTTTACCAAAAACTTCATCATATATGTTCTATGCTTTTGTGATTTATTTGAAATTTCACAGAAAAAAAATAACAAATTAGACCAGCATATATCTAAGTGGATATGAAACAGCAAACTGACTAATTGGGAGCCAGGTATATTATCAGGAGAATTGCTATTAAAAGGAGAAGATTTGGAACTAAAGGAGAAGTTCTTTCAGCAGTATCTCTACTAGAAGAGACCATTCTCCAAAAGGCTGGAGGAGAGCGGGGGAATATAGAAGGCAAATATGGTGAAGAAAAGAAGAAAAGAAGAAGGGGAAGAAGAAGAAGGAGGAGGAGGAGGAGGAGGAGGAGGAGGAGGGGGAGGGGGAGGGGGAGGAGGAAAATGATGACAGAAGAAAGGAAATGATAACAATATTATGGCAACAGAACTTAGAGCAATTTAAAAAGCAAAGTAAAAAGCTAAGATTGACCTTAAGATTATTCAGTGACTAAGAATTTTTTGTATTCTTGTACTTACCATATGAATATTGGAGTTACCTGTGTAAGTAGCAGAGATCATTTCTTTTCTATCTTTGGATTTACATCACCTAGTAGAACGCTTGAGGCATGTAGCTGTAAAAATATGTCTGTGTTAAATAAACAAATACACGAATGGGGTTGATGAAGCCCAGTTGGTGCGAAGTGCAGTTCATTTACATGAACACACTTAAGATTGGAGGCAGAAAATGAAAAAATGAGGTAGGTATTCACTTATTTTGAAATAATAGAAACAGATATTTTATGATTATTAAATAGTAGATGTTATTTCTAAATTGTTTTGAGTATTTATGGCATTCAGTGACACATATTATTTCATTTAACCGTTCAAACCACTCTATGAGGACTCTTCTTTCCAGTTTATTGATAAGGAAACTAAGTGGCAGCGAGAACAAGTTACTTGATGTGGGGTTGGAACTAGAATGTGGATCACTACAGTCTGGCGCAGAGTCTGAACTCTTAAAACATATGACTATATCATTTCTCAAAACAAGCAGACAAATACACACACATTTTCCCAAAGACATCTATTCTATACCACCTAAAAGTCTTTCGTTTCTCTTTATCCTATAAGAAATTTTACCAGTGACTACTAATGTGTGAATAATCATCTTTTCAATCACTTACTGTGCATTTGATTCAACCAAGAGCAATAGCCTCCTAATTACTTATTATTAAGGAAACATTTTGATAGGTAAAATAATAAAAATGAGCATTAGGAACTTCAGGGTCTCCAAGACAAAGAGAGCAAAGTGGTCTTTTGACAACCACAGAAAAATTTCGTCATATGGAGGCCAGACCAAAAGATTCAAGAGGGAGAAATAGGTTATATAAAGAATGATTTTCTATAATTGTCTAGAAAAGGCAGGAATCATAAAGAAGAAATGGATAGGTTTATTGATAATCAAATGTGAAACTTGTGTACATCATAGCAAAAATGAAAGAAAAATAGCCACAAAACTGCATGAAATGTTATGGAACTGGTAGATTCCTTCCCTACTCAATACCATTCACCAAATAGTCAAATAACAAACATTATTTGATGGCACAACGTAATTTATTCAATGGCCAGAGAACGTAGAAGGGGAACTTATGCTCTAAAGACCCCTTCTCCTGAGAGGTAGAGGGGCATAGATGATATGGCTGGGGGGCAAACCAGCGGTGCTTAATGTCAGCCAGATTGCAGGAGGAGGAGATGACTTCCAGGAAGGTAGGCCACATTCCTTTTTCTTCCTTATTTCGTGGCACAACACCCTTGGGGAGGAGATTTTAGTATGTTAATGTAATACAATGAAGGAATATTATGAACTTTGGCCCACTTTGTCATCTTGGGCCTGTCTGGTTCAATCCAGTTTCTTGTGGTCTGACATCAGGTTTATCTGGGTGGGAACACCTACAGGGGAGATACTAGAAAAACACCCAGCTTTTACAAAAGTTCTCTATGGAGCTCTTTGGGGCTCATCTGGTGACAGAAACACAACTTTTTTCTATGTTAGTTGATTAATTGTATTTTCCCTTATGCTTAAAATTTTTTACCAGATCTATTGAGGTATAATTGACATAAAATAAAATACACATGTTTAAAGAATACAGATTGATAAATTTGATATACATATGCACCTGACACCATGACCACAATTAAAATAATGAACATATCCATTATCTTCAGTTTACTCCCGCTCCTTTGTGATCATCCCAAATCTCTCTGCCCCACCTCAGTCACTAGGCTATGTCTTTTGTCACTGTAGTTAGGTTTGAATTTTCTGGAATTTTATGTAAATTGAATTATAAGATATGCACTCTTTTTCACAGACTTGGTTCATTCACTACAATTATTTTAAAATGCATTGGTTGTATTTTATATGTCAGATGTCATTGTTATTTTATCACTGAATAGTATTCTCTTTTCTAAATGTACCACAATTTCTCGAACCAATTCACTGGTTGTTGGACATTTGGCTTATTTCCAGTTTTGGCTGTTAGAAATAAAGTTGCTATGAACATTTGTATACAAGTCTCTGTATGAACATATGCTTTCATTATTCCTGAATAAAAACCTAAGAGTGGAATGGTTCAGTCATATGAAACGTGTATATTACCTTTTAAAAATAACTTTATTGAGATAGGATTTACATATACCATAAAGTTCATCAGCTTAAAATGTATGGTTCAATGTTTTCTAGCATACCGACAGGGCTGTGCAACCAAACATAAAACCTTGTTGCCATGAGCAGTCACTCACACCCCTCTCCACCTCAGAAAACCACTAATCTGCTATCTCTACAGATTGGTTTATTCTAGATGTATTACATAATGTCATACCGCTAATGTCAACCACTAATCTGCTATCTCTACAGATTGGTTTATTCTAGATTTATTACATAATGTCATATAATATGTAGCCTTTGTCACTTAACACAATGTTTGTCTTTTTAAGAAATAGCCAGATTGTTTTCCAAGGATGTTGTGCCATTTTCTGTTCCCCCACCAACATCATATGAGTTCCAACAGCTGCATCACTTGCCAGCACTTAGTGTGATCAAACTTTTTGATTTTATACATTATAACACAGGTGTCTGGTCTCTAATTTCCATTTTCTTAATGACTAATGATGATAAGCATCTTTTCATGTGCTTATTTACCATCCATATATCTTTTTCTGTGAAGTGTCCATTCAAATCTTTGTTTAATTGCTTCTTTTATTATCACTGAGTTTTGAATGTTATATATATAATAAATATACATATTTATGTATAACAGATATAAAATATATTTTTTCTTCAAGTCCTTTATGAGACATGTGATTTGCAAAAATGTTTTTCCTAGTCAGTGGCCTGTCTTTTCATTTCTTTAAGAGCATCTTTCAAAGACCTGTTCTTAATTTTGATGAAGTGCAATTTATATATATTTTTTCTTTTATGTATCCTGCATTTGGGGTTCTATCTTAAAAAAATCTTTACTTATCTCAAGCTCAAAAGATTTCTCCTCTGCTTTCTTCTAGAGCTATTATAGTTTAGGGCTTTATATTAGATCTATGACCCATTATAGATTAATTTAGAAATAATTAAGTTTATCCCCAGGTTAATATTTGTATATGATGTGAATTATAGATTGAAGTTCATTATTATTGTATATTGATCTTATATCCTACACCTTGTAAACTCATTTGTTGATTGTAGCAAACTTTTTCTATTTTCTCTAGTATTCTCTACAAATTGCCTACAATTGTGCCTTTCCATTTGGGGTAACTTTTATCCCTTTTTCTTCACCTACTGTAGTTTTTCTGTGTTCTATTTCATTGATTTTTCAATTTTATCTTAACTGTTTCCTTTCTTCTGCTTATGTTGGATTTCACTTGTTTTTTTTTTCCAATTTTGTAAGATGAAAACTATAATCCTTCATTTAAGATCTTTCTTCTTTTTATGTGGTATATATACACAATGGAATATTATGCAGCCATCAAAAGGAATGAGATCTTGCCATTTGCAACGACGTGGATGGAACTGGAGGGTGTTATGCTGAGTGAAATAAGTCAATCAGAGAAAGACATGTATCACATGACCTCACTGATATGAGGAATTCTTAATCTCAGGAAACAAACTGAGTGTTACTGGAGTGGTTGGGGGTGGGAGGGATGGGGTGGCTGGGTGATAGACATTGGGGAGGGTATGTGCTACGGTGAGTGCTGTGAATTGTGCAAGACTGTTGAATCACAGATCTGTACTTCTGAAACAAATAACGCAACATATTTTAAGAAAAAAGGAAAAGAAGAAGATAACAGGAGAGGAAGAAAAGGGGAGTATGTCAGAGGGGGAGACGAACCATGAGAGATGATGGACTCTGAAAAACAAACTGAGGGTTCTAGAGGGTAGGGGGGTGGGGGGATGGGTTAGCCTGGTGATGGGTATTGAGGAGGGCACGTTTTGCATGGTGCACTGGGTGTTATGAACAAACAATGAATCATGGAACACTGCATCAAAAACTAATGATGTAATATATGGTGATTAACATAACAATAAAAAAAATTAAAAAAAAAAAAAGATCTTTCTTCTTTTTTATTTATAGTCGTAAATTTTTGAATAAGTACTGCTTTACTAGCATTTTACAAATTTTTATGTTTGTGTTCATTTACAAATAGTTTTTTTGTAATTTCTTATTTGATCCACAGATTATTTATAAATGCATTATTTAGTTTACAAATATTTGGGAATTTCCTAGATATCTTTCCATTGTTGATTTCTAATTTATTTCCATTTTGGTCTAACAGCATGTTTTATTTAACTTGAATAATTCTACATCTATTAAGGTTTGTCCTGTTTTATGGTCCAGAATATAGTCTATCCTGTTAAGCATTCTGTGTGCACTTGAAAAGCATATGTATACTGCAGGTGGAATGTTCCATAAATGTCAGTTAATGCAAATCATAGATTAGGGGAAATATTTGTAAATTATCTATTTGATAAAGGACTTTTATTCAGAATGTATAAAGAACACTTACAGTTCAATAATAAGAAAATAAGGAGCCTAAGTTAAATATACTCAAAATACAGGAATAGACATTTCATCTAAGAAGTTATATCAGTAGCTAATGAGCACACGAAAAGATGTGCTTAGGATACTACTTACGAATGTGGATATTAAAAACTTAATAGCAGCATTCTTCTTTCTTCTCCTGCAAATTCCAGCAGCCTTTGTTTCTCTGGCCCCTAGGCTCCTTTTCAACTCAGGGAGGCTGCCAGGATGGGCTCTGTCTGGAGTCTCACTGCCCTGCAGTCTGGAAACATCCTCAAGTCAGTAAGCTAGAGCAATCACAGAACAAACTTCATTTGTTTTCCCATTTCTCAGAGATGACTGATGTGCAGTGTTCCTAAAAGCCATTTTTACAAAGACTGTTTGTTTTTTTAGTTGTTTCAAATGAGACAAACAGAACTAATAGAAGTTTGTTTCTTGTTTGTTTATTATAGTAAGACTCATTCATTTACAGGGGCTGAGAAGTCTTGTAATCTGCTGTCTGCAAACTGGAAAACGAGGAAAGCTGGTGGTGTAATTCAGTCTGAGTCCAAAGGCCTGAGAGACAGGAATGCCGATGTCTAAAGGCAGGACAAGATGCATGCCCCAGCTCAAGCAAAGAGCAAATTCACCCTTCCTCTGCCTTTTGCTCTATTCAGACCTTCAACAGATTGGGTGATGTCCACCTGTAGTGATGAGGGTGATCTTCTTTACTCAGTCTACTGATTCAAATGCTAACCTTGGTGTGCCTGGGTGGCTCAGTTGGTTGGGCATCTGCTTTCAGCTCAGGTCATGATTTCAGGGTCCTGGGATAGAGACCCGCATCAGGCTCCCTGCTCAGCAGGTAGTCTGCTTCTCCCTCTCCCTCTGTGATTGCTCTCACTCTCTCTCTCAAATAAATAAATAAAATTTAAAAATAAATAAAAGAATGAATGTTAACCTCTTCCAGAAACATCTTTGCAGACTCCCGCAGAAATACACAATTATGGGGCATCCCTTAGCCCAGTCAAATTGACATACAAAATTAAGTATCTATGCACCTTAAATTGCCTGGTTACAGCCTGAGAGAGAACTGGTTTAGCAAGTGTGAAAAATTAAAAGCTTTTCATGCACTACAAACTCAGTATGCATCAATGTCATAACAAGGTTGCCAAAGAGGAGAGGAAAAAACACAACAAAGCAGCTTCAGTTTGGTTTAACAGAGGTAAATGGTCTGGAATGAGAAAGGCCATGTTTCTACTCTCCCTGCCTTGCATGAATTAGATCACTCCTGGAATAGTGCACTCAAGTCTGGGGATTGCTCTGAACTGGACCTGGCAATATGGGGCACAAATGAAAGAGAGAGCCCCTGTAGGTCTTCCACTTCCTTGGAGTGATCTGTCATCTCAGCTTCCATCTTAGGCTTCCACATTAAGAGAAAAAGTCATTCATTCATTCAGCACTTACTCTCTGAAAAGCACAGGAATGTGTCCAGAGGTGGATCTTCTTCGAAGCTGGTGAAACTGAAGCTTCAAACTCCTTTCTGGCCTGGGTCCCTTCTAAGGCATTTTTGGATGAACCGAGGCAGTGTGTCTTCATAGCTGTATGTTTTTGCAAATTTGTAAACCTAAGATATAACTAATCAATGCTGTCTCTTTCTGTTCTGATCTGCTTTCCATCACATCACATTTCCTTCCACGTGTGTCGATGTCATTGGAGGGGTGGCCAACATTTTTTTTTTAATCTTCTGAAGGGAAAGTTGAGGTGGCATTTTCAACTTAGTTAAGTGGCATGAATATATGTAGTTTTCTCTTATATGTTTAGGTATAAAAATATTCTTTCTAGCCTTCCGGGCATAAGTATGGCTTCCAGGAATATTCTTAACTGCCATGGTACAGACTTACCTTGTATCATAACATAAAGGTGCAAGACCAGAAGTCATATCATGATAAGACTGGATACTATGGAACCCAGAACCAGAAGCAAGTAGGAAAGGGGGGGTAGGGGGAAAAATTTGAAATGTACAAAGACATAGTCTGGTCTATGGAAAATCCTTCCAAGTATCGCACAAGTAAAACTGTAAATGCAAGACTGATTCTCATCCATGCTTAGACAAAAGGGAATTTCCTTCCTGTAGGATAACATAAAAATATACTACACCACTGCGATGAGGACATCAGTGACATGTTGGAAAATGAAGGTCGTGAGGTCCAAGAGTTTTTAAGATTCATCCTTGAATAAGAACACTTGAAATATTCCCAAATCTTACAGCTATTTTAGGAAATAACTTATAAACACAACATCACCATTAACAAGTTGTGATGTTCAAAAAAAAAATTTCAAAACTCTTAATAATATGAAACAAGTGTGTGTCAACCATGCTTACTATCAAAAATAGCGTTATAAATTCTTCTTTTTTTTTTTAGATCGGAGGGTTTCCTCTTGTTCCAACTTAAGTGGAAGTGGGATCTGAATTACAATTTAAAAATCAGAAACCATCAGCATTGTGAACAAATCTAGAAGATCGTAAAAGAAATAACTATCAAAGTAAAGCTCCTAATAAATGCTTTTTGAGGTCACAGAAGTGTGGGAAAGATACACGTCTATATTTGTGAGGAGGAAAATCAACTGCAAAGAGGAGGAAAAACAAAGGTAGGAGGGAATAATCCGCTGCTCTTGAGACTAAAAAAAAAACAACTTACAGAATGTAAGGACATACGACCTAAGTCTTTAGAGAACCGTTTTAGTTCTGAATCAAAAATCAAAATTTGTTACTGGTGGCTTATGTAGAAGTAATAGGATAGGAGCCCAGATCAATTAAAGATGTGGTAAGCCAACGTAAATTTACTGAGATGATCACTGAATTTGTATTAGATGTCAGAATACCCACAGAAGTCCCAATTGCTCCTCTCTATGATGGTTTATCTAGAATTTGAGACCTGAAAAACTCATTATACTACGGTTTCAACATTGAGATTATGTTCCATGCACTTATTTTATTTTATTTTTAAAAATTTTAATCAGATATGAGCGTGTTTGATACCTGTTTATGTCTTAAAATTGTTTTATTCCTTATAAATAAGGCAGTTAAAATAGTGAAATGCCTTTTGTCTTATAAAATTATTAAAAATATTTGCTATGGGTGGGGGGCAGTGCACCTGGGTCGCTCAGTCGGTTAAGTGTCTGCCTCCAGCTCAGGTCATGATCCCAGGGTCCTGGGATCGAGCCCCGCATCGGGCTCCCTGCTCAGTAGGGAGTCTGCTTCTCATAGGTAGCAATATTTTTTAAAAGATTTTATTTATTTGACAGAGAAAGACACAGCGAGAGAGGGAACACAAGCAGAGGGAGTGGGAGAGGGAGAAGCAGGCTTCCCGCGGAGCGGGGAGCCCGATGCGGGGCTCGATCCCAGGACCCTGGGACCATGACCTGAGCCAAAGGCAGACGCCCAATGACTGAGCCACCCAGGCGCCCCAGGAGTCTGCTTCTCTTCTCCTGCTCATGCTCTCAGTCTGTCTCTCTCAAATAAAGAAAATCTTTTAAAAAATATTGCTACCTATTTTCCATGATGAATCTTAACTCACATCACACAAATAGAAAGAATGACAGCTTTTAATTACCAGTCTATACTAAGGAAATACAAAGGATGAGACAGAAATATGTGCACTTTTTTTTACTTAAAGTGTCCATTCAGATTCTTGATACATTTTGACACATTTCATCAATGTCTTATACTTTGAAGAAAAAAAAGGTCTATAAGTCTTAAGTAAGAAATGAGCACTTAAACTATTAATTTACGTTTTTTTCTGAGCAAACAAGGGCAAATATTCTCAGTTGTTTTCTCTATTCATTACTATATATTCTGAATAATCTTATGAAAAATAACGACATGGTCATTTTTGAAATAATATGAATTCAGAATGAAAGAGTTGATTTCCGGAGTATTAGAGAAAGGAAACACTAGTCAGAGAATCAAGTACAATTTCCGTGAAAAGGAAAGATAGCATCTCCTGTTCACACGTAACCTGTTATTTCTACCTGATCGTCAGAAAAGGCAGAGCTTAGTCACAAGCTATACAGGATTTAGTCACAGCAACTCATCATATATTGTAAAAATTTCCTTTGTTCTTTTTGTGTTGGTGAAAGCTTAAGACAACTGAAAATAAATCCTAAACTAATAGAACTAAAACATGTTTTTAGGCTTGTGTCTCATAACTCCTCTGGTAATAATCTGTTAACATAAAAATTTGAATTGTTGACCCTGAGATGGCAATATAGATTGAAACAATGTAGAAATAATTACAGTGTTGTAAAAAGTATTTTTCTAACTAATGAAATCATAGAATTTGAGTGGGGGAAGAGATAATGAAATGGACTACATTTGTAACTTTGTAACTGAAATCAACCATAGATATAAGCATTGCTCCAAATTTGTCATTGTAGCTTTTAAAAAGTGCAGATTACTGGTCCCCAACCCAGAAGATTCTAATCCAACAGACTCGGGACAGTACATGGGAAAGATAGATGATGATAGATGATAGATAGATAGATAGATAGATAGATAGATAGATAGATAGATGATAGATAATTTTTTTTTTTGAGAGAAAGTGAGACAGAGAGCACTTGAGAGTTGGGGGTGGAGTGGTCAGAAGAGAGGGAGAGTGAGAGAATCCCAAGCAAGCTCCACACTCAGTGAGGAGCCCAGCTCCAGGCTCGATCTCACCACCCTGAGATCATGACCTGAGCCAAAATCAAGAGTCTGACACTTAACCAACTGAGCCACCCAGGCACCCCTGGGATATATATTTCAAACAAAAAACTCTCCAGATTATTGTGACACACAACATAATATGGAGCCATTGATCTAAACTAATAGTTCGTTCTTGAAAAAGAAAAGAAAAAAAATCTGAAGGTGTGAACTGGTCACCCAGATAACTGTGATAAAAAGAAGCTAGTACACAGTGTAACTGAGTCTGCCTCCAGCATTCTTCTTATCATACAATATTGCTCTATTAATTATTGCATATGTTATTAAAAAGTGACTCTTTTACTTCAATAAATGTACTTTGACTAAAATGAAATTGATAACTTAAAGTAAAATTGAGCATCTTATTATTTTTATTACCCCAAATATCTCAATCTTTACTAGCTAGGTCATATGCCAGGTCATATTTTCCCTCAGTGCCCAAATCACAATTATTCCAACCTCTATCTCTTTTACAGAGAAAATCAGCATTTACAAGGTTCCCCTTGCCAAATCTGATTCCAGGGAGATTCTTACCTTTTTTTACAAATATGCATTGTTTATGACTTCAGCCAGGATGCCTCTAGAAGGTAAAATTGAATTACAAAGAAGTTGAGTAATTTGCCCAGAGTCACAGAGGAAATAAGCAGAAAGTCAAGGCTTCCCACACACAGCCTGGCTCCCACGCTCACCTAATCCCAAACCACTACCATCTGGGGCCTAGATGCTGGAGCTCTTGGCAAAGCCACTCACCTTCTGCGCAAAGTGAGAGGAGCCCTCCCAGTCCAAAGAGGTTGAGGTTCCACAGCCCCTCACCTCCCCGTAGGTTTTGAGGTGCTGCTGTTGATGCACCTCCCTCAGGGAAGCCCCATGGAGCCCATGGTTTGAAGCTGTCTTGTCAGATATGACTGGAGAGAATTTAACGGCAAGATTAATCTCTGTGAACTCCGAGGAGCTGAGAGAACCACTGCTAGCCTTGTGGAATCCTTTACACACAGGAAAAAAGCACCCCGGGTTAGGGATGGAGGGGGTAGGGGTACTTTTCATGAAAGCATCTCCTCTGAATTGAAGAATTACAAAAGGTGCTCCCTTCTGCCCTGAGGTAGCACCTCCCCACCACCACTACCACCCCCCACCCAGATGCAGGACTTCTGGGTTTTCTTATAATTTATCATTCCTCTGGCTGTTTTCTCCTATTATAGATGTAGGCTTATTTTTTAATCCAAAATTGTTTGCTTTAAAATTACCTTCGCCACGTACAACATTCTAGCTACAGTATTTTGCCTTAGAGATAATGAGATTCTTTACAACTGCCAACAACATGTCGACTGCGTAACTGGAAAAATTAAATGTTATTGCGCATACAGAAATACCAACAAGTCCACTATACTTACTGCCAGGACTAGCGGGAGATTTGATAATATTCCCGGTGAAAGAAGAAAGAAAAAAAGAAAGAGAGAGAAGAAGGAAGGAAGGAAGAAGGAAGGAAGGAAGGAAGGAAGGAAGGAAGGAAGGAAGGAAGGAAGGAAGGAAGGAGAAAAAAAAAATCAGCGTTCTATCGTGTTTTCGTTCTGTTCCATGATGAAACTAGCCGGTTCTGAAGAATCATCAGCACCAGCGGAAGAAACATCTTCGGTCTCAGCGAGAGGAAGTGGCGAAGCGGCTCTAGTTACTTTTCTCTCTGCAACGGCGGCAGGGAGCAGGGGACGGGGGTGGGGGTGGGGGCGGACGGGCTGCGCCAGGACTTTCTGTGCTCGCGTGTCCCCGCAGTGCGGCGCGCGACGCTGGCCTGTCCTCCCGCGCGTCCCGCATGCTTGCGGTGGCGTTCTGCAGCCGGGCCTGGAGGAGGGGAGGAAGTGACAGCGGCTCCGAGGTCTCTCCGGGCCGGGTCCCCGGAGCTCTCGGCGCGGGGGCGGCGGGGGCCGTTGCTGCGAGGCCCCTTCTCTCCTTCAGCTATTTTCCCTGCCCGGAGCTGGGGCCCCGGTGCCACGCCCTCCCGACCGCCCCCCAGAAGTAGCGGGGGGCTGGCCTGGCGAGACCACGGAGAAGACTAGAGGCTGGGGAGGGAGATGCCGGCTCTGGAAGCCACCGGTGACCTGGACAGGGCCAGTTTGGGTGAAGAGGTAAGAAAAAAGCAAACAGACTTCCCGAATGGGTTCAAGAGAGAACAGAAGAGAAGTGAAGAGGAGACTGTAGACATTCTTTTGAAGAGCTATGCACCAGCACAGCTGGGAATTGTAATCAGTACAATGCAATCGTGATTAAAGCAGTTTAACCCCAAAGGATCCTTCGCTTTTCTAGACTCTGGTTTATGTTAACTTATTTAGGAGTTAAATCAGTTAGCTTAAAACCATTGTTTTATTCCTGGTCGCAGACGACGGAGGCAGGACTGGAGCATCGAGGTTTCCACGTGGATTCTAGGATCCAGAAAGGAGAGCCCTGAAGGAATAGCGCTGAACGGCAGTATTAAACCACAGAATGTTCTTCATCACGAGCTTTCCCAAGGCACACCATGCTGACAATCTTCTCATTATCTTATTTACATTTTGCACCGCAGGCCTCTAGATCTCTACTCTGTTCATCAGAGAGAAAACCTTACCGAGAAACATGCTAATGGTTCTCACAGAAAAATGACTCCTGGCTGGAGAGCAGAATAATCTGTAAAGAAAGATATACTGCTGTGGTCATGACCCAGGATCCAAACAAATAGGTGAGGACTTGAATAATGTCTGGGAGTGTCCATAGTTTTTAGTTAGCTAATTAGAAAAGGAAATTTCTCTGCAATTATATTTTTATGTTATTCCTTTGTGTGACATAACAAAACACAAGTAATAACCCATTGTCAGAAGGGTGTTTTGAGTCATTCATTGAGTAACTACTGGTTGCTCCATCTTTTGTTCCTGGGAAACATGACAGGTCCCTCTACGCACAGCGCCTACACTGGAGGGTAAGTATGAGTCCACTTTGAGGAGGTAAAGCCTGAGATGAAATTAAGTATTAGCCAGAAAGCATAATTAGAGATGAGTTGAAGGTGTGCAGGGAATGGAGGAGGGTTTTCTGAGTAGTGGAAGCTATCTTTGGGTCACCTCCCTCATTGCTAGGCCAGATTTAAGTAGCTGTTGTTGTATAACAATGAAAGAAAATCTGAGAAAGTGAGTATAGAAGTGGTTTTTCAGGGAGAAAGAAGTCAGGTAGCTTCCAAATAATCTCCTTTTCCAAATAACCTGACCCCGTGTATTCCTCTCTTCCTGCCCCATAGCTCCTTCCATAGAACTATCTTTGTTCCTTTAC